GCACGTATCAAGTTTATTTTTTTTAAATTGTAAAAAGTATTTGGACTGGTCTCACCATGTTAATTTGATCCTGCAAATCCATGAGTTCCGTAGTATTGATTTTCTCTACGCTTTGCATCTCATTTCGTGATTCACCTATTAACAACAATCGTAATACTTCCACAAAATGTCTTGCATTGCCATGGTCATCTGGGAGGAGGTTCGCGTCTAGTGCTTTCCTCAGGAAACTTTCGTGGCCTCCAGCTACCACCCGTCCAGTCTTGGGCGTATCCTTTCATGTTGCTCACAATCTCCGACACCGACAGTGGAAAACTTGCTGATTCACGGCAACGTCGGCCACCGAATCACCACCAAAACTCGCGACGGACACATTATCAGCACGTCTCCGCGCTAATTCACCAATCGGACCGGGTACAAACTCGCTCACGGTGACGAATCTCTCAATAGAACAGAACTACACCTCGAAAATGTGGCATCCGAACTCGGGGAACCGGGCTCCCGGGAGGCAATTTTCGACAACGAACAATGAAACTGAAGCTGCGTCGAAGATTTTGTAGGTTGGATTCAAGGTCAACCGAGTCACTCAAGACAAACACAAGCAAAACACGATATATTACTAAATGATAACTTTATGAACACTTGAAACTAAATTTCAGCACACAAATTAACAAATTTAAAACAAAACATATTTAATTCGCTGACGAAAAATACGCGGCCTACTGCGATCTCTAAAATGTTTGAAAGCAAGCTTGTCCTGAAAACATGATCAGGACGTTAACAAGATAGGGTAGAGCGCCTAATCGCCCATTTCCGTTCTATCGAGCAAGAAACATCAATAATATCAATGATTTCACCGTGCACACATCCATAATAGGTTTGTTCTTATGTTTTAGTTCATTAGCTACAACATAAACCCTGATAGAGCGCATTGTATGAATATGTATTTACGCTTATTGTTCTCAAAACAAGAGAAGCGCTCCTAGCGAATCCCCTTTTTCTACGTTTATCCGTAGGACGAAGAAAATCTAATGTCGTTTCAATGCGTTTGGACGGAATTGAAACTCGTAGGACGAATTTAGAATCAAGAAGTGGTGTTAGGTTTTAAACAATATCTCAACAATTTGTGACTCTTTATCAAATGCAACGGTACATATGGAAAGGCGGGTTGTGCTTAGTAGGACGGAAATTAGATCAAAAACCCTATTCGAATTCTTTTTGAAAGAAATTACCAAAATTTATAAACAAAAATGGCTTAAAAATGTCCCCTAGTCACCCTCTTTAGCTACGCCATTGAGAACTGGATGGTTGTGGTGAATTTATCGTGAAAAAAAATAACACCGATGAATGTGCGTAGCTGTGTGGTTTTGAAATCAGGGTGTCTACTCAATCCAAGAAATCGAATTCCCTGAGTTTTCCAGGTTTTTCCAGGTCGAATGAAAAAAATTCCAGAAGCATACAAATTATAGACATTATTATTTTATCGAACCCCCCCTGTTTGCTGGTGTTCACCTGCTTGCACATGTCGAAAGAACTGTCATTTTAGATTTCAAAACTAAACTGTATCAGAAATCAAAAGTAAATACTTCCATCATGAAATACCGGAAAATTGCTCTAGTTTCGGCAGACGTATTTGCTTTTATTATTTTAAATAAAATGAGAAAGAGAAGGTGAACTTTGTGGGGTAGGAAATGGTTGCTCAGGAGGAACACCGGCAGGAATTTGGCTCATCTTGTCCATCAAGAGCTGCGGTATGAAGATGAAAATGGATTTCAAAACTTCGCCAGGATGTCGATACCAACTTTAGACAAGCTAGTGGGAAAAGTTCTCACTAGATATACATGATTCCTTGAGTTCTGAAAATTTCTGTTAACAACTCAATTCTGCAAGGTCTTCAAACCTTCTGACGTCCCTGAAGTTTTGTTTCTGTTCTCCGGTAAAATTTCTTTAAAGATCAACAATCATTCCTGATAATCTGCAAATGTCTCTGTAGTTCTACAGATTTCTTTGAAGTTCTGTGTGTCCTTCAGAAGTTCTGTAAATTTTCCTAAAAATCTACCTTCTGAATCCCTGAAGATTTAAGATCCTTGAAGATCAACAATTATCTCTGATGTTCACAAAATTTCTAATAATCTACAAACTTCTCGAAAGTTCTGTAATTTTCTCTGCAGATTTTCATGATTCAATGAATATCTGCAAATATTTCTGAACATCTATACAATTTTCTAAAGAATTAAAGATTATCTAGAAATTTTTGAGCTTTCCGGAAGTTTTAGGAAGTATTCTGAAGTTTTTCTAATTTTTCTGAAGCTGTGCAAATATATCTAAAGATCAGCGAACTTCCCTGAAGTTCTGCAAATGTCTTTCAAAATCTAAGAACCGCAGTAAAATTCTGAAAATTTATTTAAACATCTGCTAATTTTTGAGTAGATTTACGACCTACCCTCTGAACTTTTCTGAAGCTCCTAAAATTTATTTCAAATTCTGTAAAGTTTTCTGAATACTGTATTTCTGCTCTAAAGATCTACGAAACGTCCTGAAGTTCAATAAATTTTACAGTAGATCTCGGAACTTTTCTAAAGTTCTTTAAATTTCTTTGTGGATTCTTGATCTAAAGATCGGCGAACTTTCCCGAGGATCTGTGAGTTTTGCTGAAGTTTTGCAAATTTTTCTAAAAACGTACGAACTTTCTGACGTTCTACAGACTTCTCTTAAGATCTACGGACTTTTCTGAAGTTCTTTAGATCTACCTATTTCCGATTTCCATGGAGTTCTGCAAAATATTGTACTTTTGTACTTCGCTTCGAACTGTTTTTGGAATTGAGGTGCTTTTCTGACATTTAACGAATTTTTCTGAAGATCTCACATTTGTGTGAAACTGTAAAACTTTCTGTCAAATTCCTGCAAATATCTTTAAAGTTCTGTAAAGTTGTCTTAAGCTCCATAGCTCTATTCCCAAGATCTACAAAAAAAAAAACTTGAGGCTCAATAAATTTCTCAGTAGATCTGCAAACTTCTCTGATGTTTTGTAAATTCCTCTAGGGTCACCCTGAAAATTTCCTTGAAGATTACCTAAAGTTGTCAAAATTTATCTGAAAATATTTGAGCTTCTTTGAAGTTTTAAATGTTTCTCTCAAGATCTACAAATTTTCCTGACATCGTGTAAATATTTTTTTTTTAAATCGCCGAACTTCCCTGAAGTTCTGCAATTTTTACTGAAGATCCATTAACATTTCTGAGATTCTTGTGATTTTTTCAGAAGTCCTGTATTTTTTTTTCAAAGTTCTGTAGCTTTGTTCTGAAGATCTACGAACTTTTCTGATGTTGAATAATGCTTCGAGGATCTCCAAACTTCTGTGAAATACTTTATATTTCACTGTAGATTCTTGGACTTGTCTGAAGTTATGCGAATTTCTCTGAAGATTTGCAAAATTTCGCTTATAGTTTTACAAATTGATTTGAAATTATTTTTGCTTGCTTGAAGTTTTGAAATTTTTTTTGAACATTTATCTGAAGATCTACGACCTCTCTTGTGATTTTGTTTTTATGAATTTCTGTTAATAACTTTTAATTTGTTTGTAGTTCTGTTCTCAAGATCTACGAACTACCCTGAAGCTCAACAAATTTCTCAGTAGATCTCCGACCCTCTCTGAAGCTCAAAAAAATTCTATGTTGGGTCTCAGACCTGCTGTCTGCCATGCTTATTCTTATACAATACATGCTTCGTATGCTTCCTTTTGACGGTTGCCAGTCTCTCTTTTTCGGCTGTTTCCTTTTTACGACGATTTTGATCCTCCACATACAAATCAGCGAAGCGCGAGCGTGACAAGACTCTCTGAATGAACTTGTCTCGTTCGCACACGTTGTCTTACCTGTCAGATGCTTGTCAAGTTCAGTGCCCTTAAGAAACGTTTCGAGAAACTGAACGAAAAACTTCGTTTGAATTACGAATGAAGTGATAATTGGAAAACTCCCTAAGTGGAACCAAAATTCCCTAAATATTCCAGGTTTTTCAAGAAAAATAAAATTCCCTGTAAATTCCCGGTTTTCCAGGTTTAGACAGACACCCTGTGAAATGTACTGACCGGGGATTTGGGCACACAGATTTGCTTCCTTTCCGGATAAAATTTTGCTGAAAAATTAAAAATTAATGATATTACTTTCCTTCTGATCGCACGACGAAGGGACATTTTCAAATTATTCTAATGACAAACTTCGCTGAAGTATGATCACATAAAAGGATAACACTGTCCACTTTTGATCGTGTCATAACCGTTGGAAAATATTCCATTTCTTTGCAGTTCCAGCGATACTCATTTGCATAAATTTAATTCCCGGACTGTCTTTTAAAAATTCAACGCTCCTCCCGAGAAGGATTACTTTCTGTCACCAAACACCCACCTACCCTTCTGACTTGTCCCGAGTCAGCATCCAGTATTGCTGTATGATAGTTCAATTCTGACGATCAGCTTTTCATCTTCTTTACTTCATGTTTATTCATTGTGCAATAAATTTTCTTCTGCACCGTCCGGGTGTCCAATCCCGGTTACGCGGCCAGCAAGTTGTCCCACATTTCATTCCAACCCGTCGTCGTTGTCGTCGTCAGGGCAGTCGGTAGGTATGGCCACTTTAATGTTCCGAAAAATGCGAGCAAATCCGTGTACAGAAGGCCACGCTTGATATACATTTGGATTGCAGCGAAATTTTTCAACTGGCAGCTCGGTCTCTCACCCTCTTTGCCACCCTCTGCGCTGTGGTCCGAAAAACAAGCCAAGGTAAGCAACATTGATTTACTGTTTTCGGTGGAAATGTAAACGGGTTAGAAATAACGGTTTTAAATTTGTACATTTACGTATCGGGGATTTGAAGATTAGGCTTTATCATTCGAGTTCTGGTTGAATTTATTAAATTTTTCAAGAATATCTGCATTAAGCGGACCTACCCTCAAAATACCGTACATGGTACCGCAACCCCAGCGTATGCCGTAATTTATAGGTACTCACCAAATTTAAGCTCTGTCACGCCATTTATCACTGTGGAGGGAAAACAGCACACGGTTTTCACTGATGGCTGCTGGGGCAATGGCAATGTGGTGCTACGTCCGTTTCCGCCGTCCACTGCTGAACGCTGACGACGACGACAACGTCGGCGATGGCAATGATGAAGGACATCAATGAATGTACTGCTGGTTGGTACCCACTTGCTGTTGCTTCCGTCGTGTGCTAGTTATTAATACTTCCCGGTTGGGAGGTTGCGTTTTTTCTTCCAGCACTGTCCTTGCTGCACTGCTACTGCCACATAGTCAATGGCGTTATGGGGAAATAATAAAAAAAGGAAAGTTTCCCGGGAAACATCAACCACTAGTGCCGATGCACATGACGCCGGTGACGGCCACGACGATGACGACCGGTGTGATGTGATACAAAATCATATTTTTCACTTGAGTGAATGGGAAAAAAAAAAATAGAACTGGAGCAAAAGTGCCAAACGGGGTTTGGAGGGAGATTTTTTGTGTGTGTGACTCCTGGTTTCACTTTTTTTTTCTATGTATATATTTTCGAGTGGTAATTATACTGCACTTTGCCTAATATGTAGAAGTTTTTTCACGCCCGGGTTGTTATCACTTTTGGAGTGGGAAAAATGTGCAAGGTTTACCACAGGACACGTTGGAATCTGCGAAAAGAGAGGAGAAATGAGTGCGTCATTAAATTTTCAATTTAAGTCAGAAGACATGGTTTAAGAAATTGAAAAAAATGTTTTGAAAGCCTTAGTCATTGGAATGAAATTTACACTCAAATACATAGATCAATGAATAAATGTATGCAAGTATTTCCTAGCTTCTCGATAAAATGCATTTTGAACATAGAAGTTACACGAAAAAAAAAAATGTTCCATTATTCGTGAACAAAATTTATGAAAACCTGAACTGATAATTCACATGAATTCATGACTTTGTTTCCAAAAACGTGATCAAGTAAACCCGATTTTCAAGAATCTAATCCTTAGCTTAGTTCACGCCTCCTGCCAAATACCAAATAAAATCATGATTTTGTGATATCATGCACCTATAAGCGTGATTGCGTTCCTGCATCCGTGAACTTTGATAATTTTTAGTGGCAAGTTATTGTTAACGGTCAATAACTTGTACGGCGGTAAATCGTCCAGTTAATGGGCACTTTTAGCGGTGGTGGCCTGATATTTGAAGTGGACGGAGATGCAGCATGACTATAGCGGCAACTTGTCTAGCTTCGGAGTGGACAGCGGAGCTGGTTCCAGTGCGGAGTCGCCTTCGTACACATTCACGGGACAGGCCAAGTAGGACACATAAGGATTCCAAGTATCAAAACTTAGAACATAGAACATTTGATTCTACCTAATTAACCTAGTTGCCTAACCTAACGTGCCAGAACCCTAATGATCTGTTGATCGGTTCGCATACAGCAATCTCTGAACCATTTAATGGTAGCTCCGTAACGCCAAGGTCTGAAGACCAGCCAGGTGGTGGACATCAGAATTTCTAGTACGCGGAGGACTGTTGAGGATCATCCTCAACTCTCCCAGATTGGCAACCCGTACCCTATGACGGGAAGAATTATTTGATTGTACACAGCAAGCTTGTTTTTCAGGGATGCCACCCTATTGATTAGCGGGTACAACGACCTTATCAAGATATTGCATTTTGTTTTTATTTTATCAACATGCTCCCAGAAAATTAGCTTGCTGTCGAGTGTTAGTCCGAGGTAGACTACCCCATACAACCAGAATGCACGTATATTCATAATTGTTTTCGTGCTATACAAACATATATACAAACAAACAATTCGTATAGAATACAAATAAATGGCTTATACGTACAAAAGTGGAGGCCATATACGTGCATATTAAAATTTAATATTAAACGAGTTGATTTAACATCATAAACGATTTAATCTGCAATAACAAATTCATTTCGAAAAGTCTTACGATGTAATCCGATTTAATATGTGATACAGTACGACTGAAAAATGAGTCATCGCATATGGGTCGGAAATTTGCATTCTATACGATTTAACTTAAACATAATGCGAGGTATGCCATTCTTATATGCGATTTTGACTTAAACTGTAGCAATCTACGATACTGTCTGTACATTGTTATACGACTTCTGGTTGTCTGGGACCTCTTTGGACCACTCCACCACTGTGTCGTTTAGGCAGATTTTGTTATTCTCAGACGGAACAAGTCTGGAAGATTTTGAGTGTGGAAAAATTTTGACCTGGGTCTTCGCCACGTTGATACGGATCTTCCAGCTGTTGAAATACTCAGACAGGACATCCAAGCCTCTCTGGAGTTTGGTAGTCAGAGCTCCGATGACCCTACCCTTGTAGACGAAGGATGTGTCGTCTGCGAACAGAGACAACGATCCACCATCAGTGAGAGCCGATGCACCGATGTTAAAGGCATCCGATGTGAGGCCATTCAGAGAGACCTGGAACGTCCTGTCCTATAGATCATTTTGTAAGATCTTCATGAGGAAGATCACTTGTACACCAGGCCAGCATGCCAGACACTTTCAAACGCTTTTTCAACGTTTAACAATGCCATGCCAGAAGTTTTTGAAACAACCTAAGAATGTTTATTACTCGGGTCAGTTGGTGGACGGTCGATAGACCTTTTCGAAAACCAAACTGTACCTCGAGTAAGATGTTGTTTTCTTCGGCAGATGTTAGAAGCCGGCTTTAAACTGCTCTTTCGAACAACTTGGATAACCCTGAGAGAAGGCTGATGGGTCGGTCACTTGAAGGAGTGGAAGGATCCTTGCCAGGTTTCCGAATGGGGATGACTATCGATGTCATCAGTCGTCTCCAGTAGGGCGCCGAAATCGATGGCTTCGTCGACGACTTGTTGGAACCGATCCCAGCTTACCCGATGGTAATTCCGACGGGAAGCATGAAATCGATTAACGGAGGAGCCCACCTCGGTCACCACCAAAAAGTGGTTCGAGCTTAACTCTTGGTGGGCTACCGGTTGGGAGATGTTCTCCATGTTGCTGACGAAGATATCGATGATGGAGTGCACGCCAAACCGGCTCAACCGGGTGGGAGCGTCCGGCACCAGCATGGTGTACTGGGCCTCTTGCAGGTCGTCGCTTAGGATGATGCCGTTCTGATTCCACCTTTGGTTGCCCCAAGCTTGGCTTGTTTCGGGCAATAGGCCGCAATGATGATGACGGGGCCGACGGGTGTGGATACTTCCACACCAATCATTTTCAGCTGAAAACTGGATCCACCACCCCCAGAGCTTGTCCGATCCAACCTCACGAGCCAGAATCCAGGAAGAAAAACGTTCATCTCCAGTTTCAGGTGAGTTTCGGTGTTGATAGCTATGTCGATGCTATGTTCGTTGAGGAAGTCAACGAACTCGTTAATTTTGCTCTTGAGCGAGCAAGCGTTCCAGTTTGCGGTTTTGATGAGCTCACGGTCCATAACTGAGCATGAAGGTAGCCACAGTTTGGAGATTTGTTCTTAATGGTGTTGGCTATGTCGTGCATCTTGAGGAAGATGATCATTAGTTCCGATGTGGTGAACCACGAACCATCGTTGATTTCTGGCTGCGGTAGGGACGGTTCATCCTGACGCCAGTTTAGCCCAGGAGTTGTGGGGAGATCCTGCGGCTGTGGAGCAGCAGTCGTCTCTTGACCTGAGTTTACAGGGACTCCGGCAGTTTGAGCTTGAGCGGTGGCCGCCGCCGCAGCAGTAGCAGCGGCACGAGCAGCAGCCAATCGTTGATTGAGTGGCAGCGGTGGCAACACTGTAATCGGTGGTCGTGTTACCGGTGCAGCGGCTGACCATATGGCAATTCTTCGTTCCATGCCCAAACAGCAGGCAGTTCGAGCATTGGGTGGCTCCACGACTGACCGGCTTGTACCGCTCTCACTTCACCACAATGTTGAACAGGACGCGGATGCCCTGGAGGTCCATCTAAGTTGTTGAGTTCTTCTCAAGGTGGACCAGGTATAGCTGGTCGCGGTACTTGATGGCCTTGTTGTGGCGGACCATCTTGTAAATTTGGTCCGGCTTCAGTCCATTAGCACCCAGCTCTTCCAAGAGGACGCCTGTGTTCATGTTGTATAGTCCTCGCAGCACCACCTTGAACGGCTTAACAGCCTCGATGTCGTGGGAGAAGTACTCCACCTGTGCTTTGTTCAGTATGGCCTGTACCGCCTTGTAATATTTCAACACCGGAACCATCAGTTTGTATCCTTCCGTGCACAGCTGGATGGTGCTTCACGTAGAAGGGCGTTATTCTGTCCTTCTTCGGCGGTCCTGTTGTTTCCGTCACCGGTTATGCACCGTCCTTCAGAACGGAGAACCGATTGTTATCCAGCAGCTTCACTTTTGTCTTCAGGCCTAGGCCGTTTTCCGGGATTGCCGGCAATTGCTCCACCGCGTGATTTTTTACCCATGGCTGGGTCAGCGGGAGCGTCTCTACACTCAAAAAATTCCACACGTCATCATCATGTGTCTCACACTTAATTTTGCGCTTATTGTGAAACACATCCATTTCATGTGTGAATCTTATGCAATGAACCATGCCTGAACACTGCGGATTTGAATTGTGACACACTTGGATTCTATGTGCCTCATATGGTGATATCCGAGGTGATATAAATAGCTTTGCACATCATAGTTCAATATCTCCCGTACTTACTTTTCTGTAAGATTCTGTATAAGTAGCTAGTACTGGAATAGACCTATTAAAAACGATAACTTGTAATTGAAAAATACTCAGTTTTCACACAGATCACGAAAGTGGTAATGCAGAAAGTTGATTCATATATCCAATGTAAGGAATGCTCCTATTTTTAACCTATGAAAAATTTAAAAAATCGTTGATCGAATATTACATCGAAAGGCTCTCAAATAAACTTTAATTTTTTATAATTTTTTTGTGAGCAGAAATAGTAAATTTTAATCCGGAAATACTACCTGTTGGTACAATAACAAGTTGATCAAAGTGTCTTCTCAGCGAAATATAGTGGCGCCGTATTACAACATTTCCCCCTACGCGTAACTAAGCTGATCTGCCAAGATGTAGCCGCTGTAAGACAAATTAAGCCTGCGGTGGGAATTTGACAGTTTTGTGAAGGCACTGGATGCTTTTTATTTTTATTTTGGCTAGTTCATCTCCGGAGAACGGAGAGGGCTCAGAGTGAGTTACCTCTAAATACATGGTATATTAACATTTTGTAAATAGCTTTAATTGCTGACTCTTAAAAAAATGAAAATATATATCATAGTGAAACAGAGGAACAACAGAAAACACAATGATTTAAAACAAGCCACAAACAAATAATCCAAACAAAACAGAGCTCAGCTGGCATGGGTCCAATAGGGGAAATCCATCCAGCTGAGATATCCCAACGTACTAGTGCTGCCGATGCCGGAATATCATTCCCGAGCAGATCCCTGATGCTGGAAGTTAGGCAGAGCGACTCCCGAAGATTTTGGAACCCCAGGTAGTTGCACAGGATGTGTTCGACGGTTTAGGGTACCCCACAGATGATGCAGATTCTGCGGAACGGCAGGCCACTATAGTTATAGTAGAGTTTGGTGTGCCCGGTCCCTCAGGTTGTCCAGTTCGCTCCATGCTTCAGTTGACCTTTTGACTATGCGGATGAAGGCAGTTCTGAT